TTAAAGCCTTCAATTGATTGGATGAGGCCAACCCACATTATGAAGAGTACTCTTTCCTTAATGTCACCTGATTTTAAAACTTTATTACATCTGCAAAATACCCTCACAGCAACATCTAGACAGACAGACACTTGAGCACCATATCCTATTCAAGTTGACACACAAAATTTAACTGCCCCAACTGTGTACATCAATTGCTACAAATCATATTCAAAGAATGGACATAATCTTTGAAGGTACAGATATTTTGTAATGGCCATATGTTGCTGTTAAAATTAATGTAACTCAGAAAACATTTCAAAATATTACTGTTACATGTATTCCTCTTTCGGAGATTGTAGATGACTTCAAATAGCAAAAAAAGTCTTATTTTTAAGTGTAATAAAATGTCCTTTTTAAAGTATAGCTCTCAGATCATAAAAACCTAGATATATTAGAATATTTATATTTATACCTATAGCCATTCAGCATTCAAGGTGGATATATATAGTCAAGGAAATATTTTCTTCAAAATTAATGAGATATGCTGTAAACAACTATGCTGCTAACAGATAAAATGCTATTTTAATATATAATTCAAAAATTGCTTGTCAATAAATAACAGATGTACAGATAATATAAATGGATTTTTAAGGCATTGTTTCACTGTTTGAAGTCATTACTATGAGGACGATATGCAATAGATATGAAAATATGATAAGTAGTAGATACTAGAATATTTTCTAGGTTGTGATAAAATGTGGCCTAAACTACTCTTGCAACCACACGCTCATCACCATGTTCTAACTCATCTCTGTAAGAAAAGAAGTTGGAAATAGGTAATTTGATCATACAAAGGAATTTGTTTAAAAAGAGATGTCGCTCTGAAACATTTTCTCTTTTACAGAGAGTTCAGGTCTGTTATTTTTCCACTTCTCTGTGTCAGGAAAGACCTATTGTACTTTCCTCCTCAAACCAAGCAAGAGCTAAAGACTCCATCAGAGTAACAGGAAGTGCTTGCGGGAAAGGATGAATCTTACTCCTGGATGGATTCTAGTAAACTGCAGGAACTTGTTTACTACTATCAAGGCAGAGCACACATGGGTTCTTACAGAGTTAAATCATGTAAAAAGAAGTTGCCTTAGACAATAAGGTGAAGAGAGAAGCTGCATTTCACCAGCAATCTTGCAAAAAGCGATGGTTTTTCATGTTTCATGTTACACAGTAGGAGGTAGCTGGGCTAGTCCCAACTTAAAAGGATCCTTCAAAAAATGACTGCTTTTAAGTTGGGCTAGTCCCAACTTAAAAGGATCAGGGAGCAGAGATCCAAGAATAATAATGCTGCAGGGCAGTAGCTGAGAGTACGACATTAAAAGTGACCAGAGAATGCAGTTCCCAGGTGTATTTCAAAAGCCCAGGGGTGGTGGGGAGGTTTCATGGAGAAGGAGCAGGCAAGTGTTCAAAGATTCTATGGAAACGCCCTGAGAAGAAGGAACTTGTGTGGACTCCTTCAACGGCAGCAGGTATTAGCTATTCCTCAATTGCTAAGAGGGGACCACACATAACCTCTATAAAGTATAATGTCTTTTGCCTCTTGACCTTTTAAATATCATCCCCACTCCCACCACCCTCAAGGAAACAGAAAAATCCTGATAAATGGGAGAGAGGTAAAAGGGCAAGATGTGGTGAAGGGACAGATCATGCACTTTTCCCACTATGAAAGCAGAATAGCAGGCCTGTTTACTAAAGGGGGAGAAGCTTTGGATTGAAAAAAGGTCAGCATATTTTACTATAAAGACAGAGAGCTGCATGTGATTGTAGCTTGCAAGTAGATATTTCATTGCTATAAAAATTCATGGCAACTTCAACTAAACCAGATATATTATGATTCTGGGCTAATGTAATCCAAGTAATAGTGTATTTTGAATAGTTTACTAGGTATATTTTATTCCAGTGGCACTAAAATATTAAAAACAGATTATACTAGCCTGTGGCTCAGTATGAAGCATACTTGTTTCTTACACTAACAATAACTTAATACCATCATCTGTGGGTACATGATAGATTTTCTTGTTGACATATTCATGAGGAAACCTGACATATTTGAATATAATATATACTCTGGTAAAATTTAAATGTATTGCTATGTAAGATTTTTATAATTTAAATATGAATAACTCATGTTTTCATCTAAAAGGATGCTATAAACCAAATATCACCAATGTTACTATATTATTTATAGTTAGACATCTTTCATGTCTTTATAAATACCACATAATTATACAAATATAAATGGCTAATACCTACCTTCAATCAGCAATGATTCTGCATTCAATATTAGGGCCTCAATTTAGCTACTTTTTCTCTTGGGGAAAAAAAAGAAAACAACATTTTTTATTCTACTATAGATCACCTATAATTTTTCAGTCTATGTCTGAAAAGAGACTTTAGACTCAAATCTGGACACTCTCACTTTTGATAAGAAGAGTTAAGAGTGCATACTATTGAAATAACCACAGGAAATCAGACAGAAACTAGGACATGACCTTAAATGTATGCTCTTCCTGGCTATATAACCTACTATATTAGAATTTCCTTAATAGTGTATGATTCGGAATCAGTGTTTCTCATATTTTATTACTACTTATGTAATGTATATTTTGATGTCTTGTAGGATTATTAGCAATGGTGTAATTTTTCTTGTCATTGATTTTGACTAAGGTACACAGAAGAAGAAGGTGTGCAAAATAGATAAAAATTGATATACAAATAAAAATAAAAACTTAGACTAGGAAAAAAATAATGGGGATTATAGTCAGAAGTGTATCTAGAAATGCCTAAACAGTATTACAACATATAAAACTATTGATAATATTTTCATACAACCCCCTATTTAATATAAAATGTCATTTTACTCTTTCCCTTCTTCACATTTCCCAAATTCCTTCTGACTCTATTCTCATTATCATCAAGTTACCCTCTTCTCTAGTAACACACCAAGTCACTCACCATAGCCTACCAACTAATTTCTAAACTGGAGGTTTCTGCTTTCTAATTCATCCTACATACTTCTTTTAGACTAGTCTCTCTAATATACTTAATCACAACAATCTTTATTTTATTCATCAACTATTTATTGACTGCTATGTTTTGTCCTACATAAAGTAAACTTGATCTCTGCTTCACTGAAGCTTGATGTCTATTATGTCTCCACATAGTAAACAAATATTCTTATAAAAATAAAATCACTAATTCTGATAACTGCTATGAAGAAGTGGGCAGACTTATGGGAGAAAGGGGCCTATTTGGGAAATTAGAAAGGTTGTTTGAAGAAACAACAATTTTGCTGAAACTCGAAGGATGGGGAAGGAACACCTAGCTGAGGAAGATCAACAGCATAGTTAATTGCATAGCTTTGTATGGTGGAAATGCCTAGTACATGTGAGGAACTCAAGTGTAGCTATTACAGATTCCTGGATCATAGTGTGAGGGGATGTTGTGAGCTGTCTGTCAAGGACTTGATCATATGGGATCTGGGAGGCAATGTTAGAGGTTTCATTTGTTTTTGTTTTTGTTTTTTTTTCCTAATTGCATGGACCTTTCTGTTCTTCACAAATATTTACAAATATTTTGAAGTTAAACAAAATATAGAGATAGATGTCTAAACTTAAGACATTTTATTTTTAAGATAAGAATTGCAATTTGGGGCATACACATAGACCAGATTGTCTTCATTATGTATGAAGAACAATGAGAAAGCTGGAGGTTTAAATAAAAGCATAAATGTTATGAATTTTTTTGAAAAATGTCCACTGGCACTAGTAAAGTTTTGAGGATTGGTGAGTGACCATGGTAGGTAAAACTAGTCTGAGAGTCACAGCGTCATTTAACTAATTAGTTACTAGATAAAAGTGGTTTCAGGCTATAGTAGGTGTTTCAACAGCTAGGCCTTGAGAAAATTACTTTCCTGGAGTAAAGCTATATGCTGTGGGTGTGTTAGCTCCTCTCAATTATACTTTGGTTCAGTAGGACAAGAATGACCCAATTCATTCATGTAATCAACTTTCACAAATCTCTAATTGTTTCAAAATAAAAAACAATTTTAACAAAACGAACCTCTATATTAATTTGCTAGGGCTTCCATAACAAATTATCAGATTGGATGGCTTACACAGAAATGCATTTGTTTACAGCTCTGGAGGTTGGAAGTCCAAGATCAAGGTTTCATAGGTTTGGATTTTCCCTGAGGCCTGTTCTTTGCTTGCAGATGGCCATTTTCTTACTGTGTCCTCAGATGGGCTTTGCCCTGTGCGCATGGAGCCTTGGCATCTCTGTGTGTCCAAATATTCTCTTCTTACAAAAACCACCTGTCAGATGGAATTACGGTCCACCCAGTATCTACATGCAGTTACATTCTGAGGGTTTGAGGTTTAGGGCTTCAACATATAAATTAGGGGAGAGCAAAATTTAGTCCATAACCTCTACATGATTGAAATCAAACATTTATTCTAAGTAAAAATAGCAAAATATTGTTAAGTATTATTATTCTCATTCCCTGGTGGAGAAATCTTACTAGTAAGCACTAAAACAATATTTAACAAGGGCATAATATTAGCAAAGATTTTCCCCAGCCTCTACATCATAGGCTTCCTCATGAGTAGATAAACAGGAAATTCTATAGTCTACCCACAGATGATGGTATCAAGTTTCTGCCAGTGTAAGAAATATAAATATGCTTCTCACTGGCTGGCAAAATCTATTTTTAGAAAAACAAAGAGGAAGATGCAGACAGACAGACAAACTATCATAAAAATAAATATGATGGCAGTGGATTTTTAGGTTGAAATAACAATTTTTATTTTCACTGCATTTTCTAGTCTTTTTTTATAATTTTTCTACAATTAGTATATTATTTTATAATTAAAATGTATAATTGCAATAATGAATCTTGTAAAATACATTAAGAATACATATTCTTAATTACTTAATGTTTTCTTACTGTAACATTTTTACTCTTTTCTCATTTCTCTATAATTAATTATTCACTGAATTATTGCTTGTGTTAGATTGCAGGAGTTGCACTGCTTGACAAAGAATATGAAGACATAATTTCTCTCTTGATTACCATCAAAAAATTGTCTTTCAAAAGAACTCTATCAGATCACATTGAAACCAGTATTGCAACACTTCCTGGTTTTACCATTACTCAAGAACAATGACATATATTATTAATCAGTTTTCACTAACTTAGTGAAAATGCCACCATTTTGTTTGATTTCATTTCACCTAATTTCATTTGCTTGTACAAATGGAGTCTGACTTCAAGTATATGAGGTTTTCTTACTGTTTCTCTGATGCAAGATGTTTTTTCAGGCCAGTTTTTATGCTATTATTTTTTATTTTATTAGTGCTGTGGCACAATTGTGATTCACTGCAGCCTCAACCTCCAGGGCTCAAACAATCCTCCCATCTGAGCCTTCCATGCAGCTGCAACTATAAGCATATACCACCACACCTGGCTAAATTTTTATTCTTTTTAGAAATGAGGTTTTGCCATGTTGCCCAAGCTGGTTCACAAAATCCTGAGCTCAAGCACCCAGCCAGCCTTAGCCTCTCAAAGTTCTGGGATTACAGGCAAAGGCCATAGAACCTGGCCAGTATTACTTTTTAAACCAATATGAGCTCTAAATATAGTTGTTCAAAATATTTCATAAAAATGTAAAATGTGATTATTAGTAGCATCCACAAATGAATAATTTCCTATAAGGATCTTAGGTATTTCTAATGCCATACTAGTCAAATAATTTTTTATATACTAGAGTAGAATTTTCTTAATATGCTAGAGTAGGAGTTTCACACTTGTTAATCCTCATTCCCAGCTACATAGTCAATTAAGAGTACAATCTATAATTAAAACAATCATTAAAAACAGTTACACAAAAATTTGCATATATGAAAGATTCAGATAATTAGATCAGAATTTTATACTTATTTTATGGCCTTACCTTATTTGCAAAGCCTTCCTTGTAGTTGCAAAAATTATAGATAGAAGCAAATGTATATTATCCTAAATTTTTGATTGTTATAGATAAATAATCCAAGAAATATAGAATATACATATAAACTGATGTAACTGATTTTATGTACAATCAAAGAGTGGAGTGGAGTTCTAACTCTCATTCAATCACCTTGCTCACCACAAACTTATCAATTGCCATACAAAACCTTTAAAAATATTATACTACAATTGTAAAATCTTAAACTAATTCTAAATTAAGTTTCATATTTTTAGGAATCCAGAGTAATATCAAGTCCAAGAGAAGACATATTTAATCTTCATAGCAAGAAAGACAATGACATTTTCTTTTTTTCCTTTTCTAGAAAATATATAAAAATCCATTTTATTTTTAGGCAGAGTCTTATTGTATCACTCAGGCTGGAGTGCAGTGATGCGATCTCAGCTTGCTGCAATCTCCGTCTGCTGGGTTCAAGTAATTCTTCTACCTCAGCCTCCTGAGTAGCTGGAATTACAGCCATGCACCACAATGCTCAGCTAATTTTTGTAATTTTAGTAGAAATGTGGGTTTGCCATATTGGTCAGACTGGTCTCGCACTCTTGATCTCAGGTGATCCACTTGCCTCGGTCTCCCAAAGTGCTGGAATAGTGTGGAAAGAAATAATTTGTCTCAGCAATGCTTCACTATATACTCAAATTTAAACTATCAGCTTTCACAAATTGATAGTTGAAAGGCAAGATTAATTCAACAGATATTTCTAAACAAGTCAGATATATAGGTCTTGAATATTGAAAAACATCTCTGTCGAATGGGATTCAAATGAATTTAAATGTGACTTTCAAATAAAATTACATTTAAAAGTTATAAATTGATTTATTTGCTTTGCCCATTTAAAAAAAATGCATGCTTTCTAGTGGTCTTGGAATCAACTAAATTAGCTGGCCATGAAATTTTTCAGAAAAAATAATAAATGCAATGGGAAATAAATATATTTCTAGAATTCCTAATTGTGAACCAGGAAAAGAACTCCTAAGGTTATTCATTTTCTTTGCTAGCCCTGTCTGATGAATAAGTACTTTAATCTGTAATGAACATGGGAAGGTATAATTGTGTACACTCAAATTGCAGTTCTTGCTATGCTTGTGTCCAGTGAACTGGAAATTAAACTTCAGCTATAGTGGTGTTTAGTTATTCTTTGAGATTACAATAGTTCTATTTCAGTAAAAAGCAGGTTGAAAGAAGTTCACTGGAAATGATTGCTAAACTCTTTGCTAGAATAAAGTACAATGCAATTTTGGTCAAACATATGCTGAATCTGTTGTTTTCAGTTTATAATCCAAGCATCCTTGAGAGTGTCAACCCACCTATCCCTTTGGATAAATAATCCAGTTCATGCAGCATCTACTTGGATGGAAATTACACCTATATAATTTGAGAGTAATTCCTCACGCAAGTCACACATAGGCATGACATAATGAGCATGTCAGAGTCAACTAAAATATAGAGACAAATCTCTAAATTTACAATCTTTTATTTGGGAAGCAAGAGTTCTAATTTTCAGCATGCACACAGACCAGGTGGTCTTCAGCATGTCTGAAGAACAAAGAGAAGTTTGAGAGCTTTATTAGAAAGAGAAATGCTACCTATCACTTTGAAAGAAAGCTCATTGACACCAGAGAAGCTTTTGCAAGCTGGCAAGCTCTGAATGGTAAGTGACAGTGGAGATAACATCACTCTTAGGGTCATGGCAGCTGATTTCAACCGCTGAACTTGTGGAAAATTAAACTTTTTGCACAGGTGCTACGTGTCCCGAGAGCTCTTCCCCCAGCCCCTCATTTCTATCCAGTATGGGATGGCAAGAATGACTCAATTTGAATAATTAACTTTCACAAGTGCCACCAACATAATGAGGAAAGAAAAAAATGCAAAGAAACAACATGCACAAAACATAATGAAGGAAGAATTAAATTTGAGTTGGAGTATAATTTCTAGAGGTTATGCAATCAAATTTTAAAATAACATGTATAAGGATATGGAGTCTCAGAGAGAGTTGTAAAGTCAGACTCTAGTCTAAATGATTGGTCATAAATCCAGTGGGAAATAGTACATCAGGGAAAGGTTAGGGCTAGAGATAGAAACCTGTGAGTAAATCACAAAGACAAAAAAGTGCTCCAAGGTAGTCAACAGGGAAGAGAAGAATTAGGAAGTCACAAACCTGAAAACAATAAATACTGAGATGGATGGAGAAGGAAAATCAGGCAATATAGAGAGAATTTTAAATTAACCATGTTTGTAGATTTCTGCAGTAGAGATGCTCCTTTGGAGATATTTCCCAGGTCCCTTATCTTCAGGTTTGACTTCCATGAGAATGTTAGAAAATTTGAAATTAAAGAATTAATTGTTTTTGATGCACTTTGCTTGAAACAATCAAATCCTAATCTTCCCAGGTTAGCAATGTAGGAAGAATGAAACTGAGAACACCCTTTATTTTCCCCAAATTTCCCTTTCCCTGAATAATTTTTTTGTGTTGATCACTTGTTACAGTTATGTTGTCTTCTAAGAAAAAAAATTGAGCTTTTGGCCAGAAGGTGCCATACTGTCCTAGTTGAGCTAAATATGAATATTTAAACAGGACTTTGATTTCACTGTGGGCCCCACAAGGCAAGAAGAGCAGGATAAATTTAGGTAACTCTCAGAGTCAGGCTTCTGGGGTCTCCCGGCTTCTGACTTTCCCTTTTATAGAAATTTCCATTTTAATCTTTACTACCTGAGAGCTCTCAAACATTTTAAAATATCCTCATAGTCTGTATCTGAAAAATCATGATCCCAAAAGGCTGTCGGACTTTTCTCTCAAATGCCAAAGCTGAAATTTTTATTTCAGTTTTGTGCTTGAGAAATTCTACAAAATTGACAAGGGGAATATCCATCTCCTCAAGGTAGTTCCTTAAATGTTTAAAAATTTCCCGATGAAAAGTAATACAGAGTGCATTTGTGGTTAATATAATAGCACAGTTCGATAAAATGTTATGTTGGATAAGCATTAATATGTGACATATGCAAATAAGCATGAATTTTAGAAATTAAGGGATTGTTTAATCTTTTATTGGGAAGTTAATAAACAGTACCTGTCTCTCTCTAGTTGTTTCTATATCAGTTTCTATATGCTCCTGAATTTGGCTAATCCATGATCATTTCTTCCTTTACAATATGATAGCCAGAATTACTCAGGGCATTTCAACTGTTAAGTAAAGAGGAAAAACATCATACAATGCAATTCATTCTTACATTCATCATATGTTTTATGAGAGCTTATTATATAACAGGCAGTGTTTTAGGCTGTACAGATCCAAAAACAAACAAATACACAAACAGAAAGAGATCTTTTTCTCCAAGAAGTTGACATGCCAGCAGGAGAAATGAAAACTAATGTGATCAATAATGTGGTAATATAAAGTAAGATACACTTCTAACAATTTAAAGAATCATTATTTTTGAACTTAGACTAGATGGTAAACGAAGTTATGTCCAATGTTGAAAACTAAATAAGTTTAAAAATCTATATATATTTTTTTAAATTTGAGTGCTTCAAATGCTTCCATAATAACACAGCAGATATTTAACATCAGAATTCATAACATCTGGTATATTTATTCAGCATAATTATATTAACAGCATAGGTAGTAGGGTGACTGAATTAATCAGTGACAGGCCAGAGTACTGAGTGATTTGAATGAGAATGTTAAAATTAGATCATTAACATTCTGCCTTTTTTACCTGAGAAGGAATCCACAGCAATTACTAACAAAAGGGAATAATAACATATTTAGAAGAGGCAGTGCTTAATTGCACATAGTGTATATAGTAGAAAACTCTCTTAAAAATGGAAAATGTTATGATTAATAGGAAATGCAGAATTTATTCAGTTGGATTTTTTCATTAACCAAAGAAGAACTTCAAAGCCCATCTTCTGTGAAACACTGCAGTGGGTTGTTGACATTTACAAAGGGTGGAATCATTTCCTGCCATAGAAAACTTAATGAATATCATAAACTTTAAACCATAACTGCAGATGAGCTCCTTATTTCTCTTTAGCCCCTTCAGATCCAACTTTCATTCTTCACTTTTTCTTGTAATACACAATCTTCAAAGACTGCATCAGTGGGCCCCTTGTTTCTGGTTTGCCATTTTACACTTGGGTAAAGAAATACACTCACAGGAGAGAAGGAAAGGGGTGAAGAAAGAGGAATGGGATATTTTTTTCCCAGTCATTCTTGCTCCTTGAGAAAAGAGGAATTAGATATGTTTCTCCTGCGGCAGGGCCCTTCCACACTTACAGCTATTCTTTTTGGATTAATTAACCAATCCCTGGGCTTGCTGCTTCACACCTAGAGTTGGTAATAGTTCCCCAACAGTGCCCGCTCCTGGGTGCCTCACTCCTTCTTGCCACTGAAGGTGTGATTCTCTCACACTTTTAGAAATAGCACTTTTCTGGTTTCTTTTCAGTAACCCAGCTTGAATATGCCATTTTTACTCAGGCCTCCGACTGAAAAATAGTATCCTGCATTGACTAGGGGTCAGCACTATATACACAGAGAAAATACTGGAGGATGAAAAAGTTATGAATTCTAGTTTAATCCTACAGCCTCTTTTCAACTAACTCTACATTTATTTTTCTGTGTGTCCATAATCATTCTGGTTCTGACTGAACAACTCAACTTTGGAATAAAATGAAGAATCTATTCCTTTTCCAGTATAAAATATGGTAATGATCCTTTACCACATTAGCATTTGCTAAAAAGGTAGAAGATCTATGGCCATTTACTGGAATTTTCCCAGGTCCTGGATTTTATTTAAACTGTATTATTTTATTACATAACCCAGCAACAAATAAATCATCTCACTAGACTCATATTTCTTTTATATGGAAGTATAATATTACTTAATTTTTATGCCATGGCATAATTTTACTTCTACTAAACTAAATAGGAAAGCATATTAACATAAATATAATCAAAATATAGATTATTAGAGGTTTTTATTTTTAATTACTTTCACTTCTATCTAATATTAACAATTTTAAAAATACTTGCAAAGTGCAATTGTACAGCTATAAGTATAGAAAACTAAGTTCTATATATGTTTTTAGAATAACAGAAATATAAACTTACCTAGATGTCTTACTGAATATTTTATTTCTCTCTCTTAATAGGTACATTCTTTTAGGATTTACATATACATTTATTCAAACATTGGCATATTATAAATTGTGATTCATAATTCAAAACATATAACTCCTAAGATCAAACAAAACAGTCTTGATAGATTTTCATACATGATTGCATTTCAAATTTTTAACATAACAAAAGCCATTTTATTTAATTCAGGTTTGCCTGCAAACAAACTGGGTCAGGTTAGTTGAGGTTAGGTCATGTGTCCTCTTAAATGTATTTGTATAGTAAACTTCAACTTTCTGTAATTGTTTCTTGTCTCAAATCACAACTTTTCCGTTTTCAAGCATAATCTGATGTAGAATTCTGTATGCATGGTATATGCACTTGTTTTCTATTATTATTAAATTCATACTATATTTAGTGGCTTAAAACAACAAGTATTTATCACCTCACAATTTCTGCCCTGAGGAATTTGGAAGTGGCCTTGTGAGATGGCTCTAGCTTAGAGTCTCTTATGAAGTTAAAGTACAGATGATGGACGTCAACTCCAACTGTTAAGTAAAGAGGAAAAACATCATACAATGTAATTCATTCTTACATTCAAACAAAGGTCTGACTCGATCTGGAGGATCCACTCTCTAAGCTGACAGTTCCTTCCTGGCTATCAGTAGGAGGCCTCATTTCCTAACCACGGACCTATCTGCAGAATATGACACTGTCTTCATTCTGCAGCTTGCTAAGTGATGACAGAGATAGAGAAAAGCTGTAACGTTACAAGTGACATACCATTTCTTCTGCCATAGTCCATGGTCAAATAGGACTAATGCTGGTACAGTGTAAAAGGGAATAATACAAAGTTATGAATACCAGGAGGTGGAGATCATTAAGGGCCATCTTGGAGGCTGGCTAGCAGAGTTAGTGACTTTTAAATCAGAATATGTTATCATTTGACATCAAGTTATACAAATCCCAGTAATTCTCAGGTCAGCAGAAGGTCATAGGAAAATGAAGCATATTCCTATTTAATTTTGTGATTCTCCATAATGATGCAAACATGCCTGCAATGCAATGAAGAAAGAATAGGTAATGAAGGTCAGTTACAGTGCTGGTGTTACCATTGTGTCTGTGTTGTTTCTTTGTAGACTCAAAAAGAAATTTGCTTCTGTATCACCTTGGTACAGAAATGGCACAGAGTCAAATATTAAATAACTCTAAAAGAACTTAAACATTTGACATTTTATAAAAATTGTGTAATGAATTACATGCCTCTTACATATGAAAGTTTGACCTACTTTCTTTTTCCCTGTGACTCTTTAAGCACCTGTTATTTTTATTCATCTAGCTCAGTTTTAAAAACAAGTTTCATTCTGCCATTAAGAGGCTTTGTGTATCCAAGGAAATGTCAAGAACCGTAGATTTTTTAACTTAAAACCCTTTTCCTCATGATGGCGTTTGTTTTCCTCCATGACTATTTAACAACATATTTATTGACCTTCCTATTATTACAGTAACTGCCATACTAACATAGTCAATGAACTTCTTTGCATAGACCTTGGCAAGCAATTTTAAATAATAGATTTAAGTTGATTCAGCACAACTAAATATATCAAGAAATGTATTTATTTCTGATTCCTGAGAATTACTCTTCTTATAAGTCATTTTTAAATTTTCTAAAATAAATATTGACACTGAAGTATTGATATGTGTGAGTTCTTATTTTTAAAATAACTTTACATTTCCAATAAGGTTACTAATAGGCTGAATTATGCCATAGGCATAATTACAGTGCCTGTCGTTCAAATATGGCATTGCAGACACTGGAAATATTCTGACAGCAGAGGAGGTATGGGTTCTGATGTATGTGTGAGGTCCAAGTTTATATTTCAAGTATATAGGTTTAAGATATATTTTGGAGGTAGACTAATTAGTTCTTAGCAATGGTTTCCATAGTCCATATAGCAAGGTAAGGAAGAAGGAAGAATAAAAGATAATTCCCACATTTCTAATTTGAACATCTTGGTGAATACTGTTCCCTGAGATGGAGAAAACAGGATCACCTCATTAATAAAAACTTTTTTGCCAAAGATTTTATCTTAGAGTTAACAGTGGAATGTAAAATTAATATACTTTTATTTTCTAGATCCAGTTAACTATATATTTGGGCAAATTTGTCCAAATTTATAGGTGATTGACACATATATTTTCCTTGAAATATGAAACCTGTCTGGGCTTGGTGGCTTACACCTATTATTCCAACACTTTGGGAGTAAGAGATGGGAACACATCTCTTGATGCGTTCAGGAGCTTGAAACCAGCCTCGGCAACATTGTGAGACCCCATCTCACAAAAATAGAAAAAAATTAGCCAGGTGTGGTGGTGCATGCCTGTAGTTCCAGGCATATATTATTTTGCTTTTTAATTAACATTTCAACAAATACCAACAAGAATTTTCCCCAAATCTAAATATTGATAGTGATAAAGAAAAGAAAGTAGAATGCATTAGAAACAAATACTGATATTAATAAAAATAAATACTAGACAATTATAGACAATCCCTTTGGTATAATATTCATACACTAGAATATTTGAGGAACAGGCCTGCCTGATTTTTAAAACATGGAGACATACAGTAGCAAGCATAATCACACCATTACTAATTTACCTTCAAATCTGAAACAAAGTGATGTGTTGTTCATTTGCCGTGAAGAACCAACGTTTCCTCTTGCCTGCCCTTATCGCCCTCTGTGATCTATGACTTAGCACATCTTTCAGAACACTGAAAAATGCATACTCTGTAGATACTCAATTTACTTTTTGGAATCTAGTCTTGGCTGAAGCAGAGAGATGGTTTCAGGAATTTAATTATACAGCACATTTCAAAGTTGGTAACTACATCATTCAAATGGAAACAATTGCTTTTCTTTTCTATTTTCTTTTTGATTTCCAACTTTTATTTTAAGTTCAGGGTTATAGGTGTAAGATGTGCCAATTTGTTACATAATTAAATGTGTGCTATGGTGGTTTGCTGTACAGATCATCTCATCACCTAGGTATTAAGCCCAGTATCCATTAACTATTCTTCCAGATGCTCTCCCTCTTCTCTCCACCACCCTCTGACAGGCCCCAATGTGTGTTGTTCCCACCACGTGTCCAGCTGTTCTCATCATTCATCTCCCACTTACAAGTGAGAACATGCAGTACTTGGTTTTCTGTTCCTTCATTAGTTTGCTGAGGTCAGTAGCTTCCACTCTATCCATGTCTCTGCAAAGGACATGATCTCATTCCTATTTATGGCTGCATAATATTCCACGGTGTATATGTACCATACTTTCTTTATCCAGTCTATCATTGATGGGCATTTTTATGATTCCATGAAACTCTTCCAAAAAAAATGGAAAAGAAGGAACTCCTCCCTAACTCATTCTATGAGGCCAGCATCATTCTGATAACAAAACCCGGCAGAAATAAAACAAAAAAAGAAAACATCAGGCCAATATCCTTGATGAACATCAATGCAAAAACCCTCAAGAAAATAATAACAAACTGAATCCAGCAGCACATCAAAAAGCTTACACAACATGATTAAGCAGGCTTCATCCTTTGGATGCAAGTTTGGTTCAACATACACAAATCAACAAATGTGATTCATCACGTAAGTAGAAGTAAACGCAAAAGCCACATGTTATCTCAATAGATTCAGAAAAGGCCTTCGATAAAATTCAACATCGCTTTGTGTTAAAATTCTCAATAAACTAGGTATTGAAGGAACAGACTTCAAAATAATAATATCCACATATAACTAACCAGCAGCCAGTATCATACTGAATGGGCAAAAACTGGAAGCATTTCCCATTGAAAACTGACACAAGACAAGGATACCCTGTCTCACCACTCTTTTTCAACATAGCATTGTAAGTCCTGGCCAGGACAATCAGGCGAGAGAAATAAATAAATGTATTCAAATAGGAAGAGAGGAAGTCAAATTATCTTTGTTTGCAGGTGACATGACTCTATCTTTAGAAAACCCCATTGTCTCAGTCCAAAAGTTTCTTAAGCTGATAGGCAACTTCATCAGAGCCTCAGGATGCAAATTCAATGTGCAAAAATTTCCAGCACTCCTATACACAAACAACAGACAAGCTGAGAGCCAAATCATGAATGAACTCCCATTCATAATTGCTTTTCTAAACTCTGTAAATGGAACTAGCAAGGTGGAAACAAGGGGCCTCCCTTGCCAGGCAGCCAACCGAAGGCTCATGAAACCGGTTCTTCAACTAATCACAGTTGGATAAGACAAACTACAGAAGGAAATGAGAAAAAAATCTCAAGAAAGCAAATGAATATGTCGAGGATGACATGCTATTTCAATAAACTTTTAAATCTATTATTGCAGTCCCTCTGCAAACATGAGAAAGGGAAACTAATGATGTGCTGAATATTTGAATATTTTTTTCTGGAGTCAATGGAGCAGACCTAGTATAAATATCCACTTTTTTTTGAAATTTCATAACGAATTCCTTTAAAAATATTCTGTCATTTAGGCAATCCTCTGGATTTATTCCAGTTGAGTTAGAGAATACCTCCACTGTTTTGGTATCCTAGTGTTTCTCTCCTCTTATTTCTTCCATACAGTTAAATTCTGAAATTCTCTATGGGATCTATGCATCTTCAGCCAGAATCTTTTTTGAGACAATATATAAATCTCATTCTTAACATTTTCATCTTTACCAAAGTGGTGATTTGATATGCTCCTGTGTGTGTGTGTGTGTGTGTGTGTGTGTGTGTGTGTGTGTGTATTAATTCTAAGTGAATTGGGCACAAAAGATTCTAAATATAGTTTACATTAATTATGTCATACAATATATTATATTTGGGGCACATTTTCCGGCAACTGAATGTAATCATATGGGAATATGTCAGGGTTTTTTTGGTCTCTAAATGAGTTAAATAAACTATGGAACACACTGGTCTTTATATACCAGTATAATAAAAAAAAGATTTGCTGGAGCGTTTTTTTTCTTCCCGGCATATAACACAGACTTGTAACTTCTTTCCCAACAAACCTTTCTACACATCATTTACCTTCTTAGATGCAAAGTTAGCATCATTATTAAACATCTGAACAGTGGAGCATATGTTCTGAATTACTTACATATCTGTTAGAGACTGGAGTCATTTCCCTCATCATGTATAGTAGCTGTGCATACAGAGTAACCAGGAATCTTGTGCAAGCAGTCAGAACAGTCAAAACAAATGTGCTTGATCCTTCCTCCAACAGCTTCATGCAGTGTATTTCTTTCTTAAGAGATTCCCTACAAAACATCACATTCATGGATAGAAACATTTGAACATTTCTAGTTGAGAAGTAGGAAAGTCTCTGTTTTTTAAAAAAGAAGAGACAAACAGATTTACATAGGCACTGTTTTGAGGACTTTTATATAAAAAACTCCAATCTAGCCTGCTGATATATTTTCAAAGATTAAAAACACAAAAACTGTACATTCTTGATAAAATCGGATTAGTTCAAACAATAAAAAGTCCTCTTGTTTTTAGAAAATGATATTTTGTTTGATTTTAAATTTGCCTAATCATTGATAAAATAACCGATACATTCAACTGTCTCATTTGATATGAGGACATAATTAATTCAGACAGGAAATCTGTGAAAACAAATGCCCAGAATGGCCAGAATAATCAGGGTTTTAGATTTAATAAATGCTCCACAGCATACTGCATATAAGACATTATAGTAAGAATATAAGGGAAAATTTAATCAATAATACTTATGAGCTAGTGATTAAAAAGTGATAGGGAGATTTCATGTAATATGAACCTTTAAAAAGATAGCTTGAATGTTTTAAGAATATATAGGTAGACAATATGTACTTTAAACATATTTTAGATAATTTTTTCTGAATATACTTTATCAGGAATTTAAAAGTTTTCATATTCTGAATGTGAAGAGGAAGAGTCTACATTCCAAGACTAATTCAAATTATGCCACCTTTTGCAATACACATAAAAAGAAAAATTCAAGTGTTAACAATCAGCCAGCTAAAACAAGAATGTCAAGCCAAAGTTTTTATTTCCTTACATAATAGAATATTGTATTTAGATAATCTGGATGGTTAAATAATGTTATGATACTTTACTTTCTTAATATATGTAAGAGAATAACATATAACATAAAAATATTTACGAAATACATACCTATTTGATTATTGAAAATTACATGAACACAATGCATTTAGAAAGGATGTCACTAAAACATAAGACAGCTTTTATTAAAAATAATAACAATTATAGTCTAATAAATATCACATCCTGATGACTCTCTATTATGGTGCTGGTGGCAAAGAGGTGGCTGGCATCATAGTTTTCTGTAGCTTTATGTTTATAATTTCAGTCAGCTACATGAGCTGAAATATTTAATGCATGAATTATTAGCACATTACAAAATGGTTTTCATTTGCAATCAGTTTTGAATATTAGAATTTTAATAAGGAACTGTTGGGGAGAACTATACTAATTACATCTTATTTATGTCTGCTGAAGTTAAAAATAGGTTTATCCTCATAAAATTGTACCACTTGTCTGGTGTTCTGTTCTCACATGTTTGTGTATCTTTTAAACATTTTTTTTTTCTGACTACTCCTGCTGATATTCAAGTGTCATTATCTTAGCTTAACTTTGCCCTTCATTTACTATCTACTAATTTTTGGTGTTTATTTTGCACAACAAAAGTCTCTATGTGGCTATCTTATTTTTCTAACAAAGCTACAATTTCTTTTATAGAAGTTTAGAACTATGAATTGGGACTAAATGTACCTACTGAAAAATAATATGTAAGTTGTACAATGACTAGTTTACTTGTTGTTCGAAGAGCTTCAACTATTTTGGGGTTACTAAGGAATAAATATAGGAAAATCTTGAAAAACATTAACATTTGGTAGAAACAGTAGTAAAGAAGCAAACAGACAATAATCAGAAATAAATTTAAGATATATTTCTGCAATTGGGAGCTAAAATGTTGCTCTTTTTTTCTAACAAAAAGGAATAAATGCCAAGTAATATGTGGACCAGCAAGGTAAAGAAAATGGAAGATGAACATATACTGATACTATAATTATGGAGAAAGAATGTCTTCCCTTTTAAATCCAAAGCATGTACATGAAAGTAAGACTTCTCCCATGTCATCATAATCTTTATTTTATTGATTTCTTAATTGTTAGAAAAAACAATGGCCAGGATTAAAAAGTAATTGGCTGGGTATGGTGGCTCACGTGTGGAATCCCAGGAATTTGGGAGGCTGAGGCAGGTAGCTCACTTGAGGTCAGGTATGGAAGACCAGCTGGCCAACATAGTGAAACCCTGTCACTATAAAATACAAAAATTAGCCGGGGGTGGTGGCATACACCTGTAATCCCAGCTGCTTGGGAGGCTGAAGCAGGAGAATCCCTTGAAGCAGAGAGGTGGAGTTTGTAATGAGTCACCACACTCCAGCCTGGGTGGCAGAGCAGGACTCCATCTCAAAAAAAAAAAATTGATTTAATTAAATACTAGTTAGAAAATTATAAAAGCATGTGTAAATATATTTCTAAATATGTGACATTTCCTATACATTGAAATCATTTTTTCAAAGATTTTTGAATGAACGGAAACATTCACTGTTTGAATCTTTGATATGTTTACTAATCTACTATCCCTTGCTCTGAAGTTTGATTTTTTGCCTGTTACCTTAATTTTTTTTGTCTGCATTATGTAATATACTTTATGTATAAGAAAATATTGAGTCCAGAGACAGTGGCTCATGCCTGTATTGCCAGCACTTTAGGAGGCTGAGGTGGGTGGATCACTTGAACTCAGACAAGCCTGGAAAACATGGTAAAATCCTGTCTCTACAAAAAATACAAATTAGTTGGGCATAGTGGTAAACACTTGTAATCCCAGCTACTGGGGAGGCTCAGGCCTGAGAATCACTTGAGCCCAAGAGGCGGAGGTTGCAGTGACCCAAGCACTCAAGACTAGGTGACAGAGTGAGGCTCTGCCAATAAAAGGGAAAGAAAGCAAGAAAGGAAGACAGAGAAGACGAAGGAAGGCAGGAAGACAGGAAGGCAAGAAGGAAGGAGGGAAGGAAGGGGGAAGAAAAGGGGAATGAAGGGGCAAGGGAAGTGAAGGGAAGGGAATGGAGGGAGAGAGAGAGGGAAGGAAAGAAAGAAGGAAGGAAGAAAAGAAGGAAAGAAGGGAGGGAGGGAGGGAAAAAGGAAGGGAGGAAGAGAGAAAGGAAGGGAGGGAAAATTGAAATAATGTATTTTGTGTATAATATAGTCACTTTTCACTTTCTGTACTAAAGGTCTACTAATGTTAATTAAACTTTATAAATAAAAACACAACAAAAAGAAAAACTTTGCTTCTCAATGATTTCATCTTATTTTATTTTATTTTTTTAATCTTTTTATGGTTTTTTTTTAAGACGGAGTCTCGCTCTTGTCACCCAGGCTGGAGGGCAAAGGAGTGACCTCAGCTCACTGCAACGTCTGCCTCCCATTTTCAAATGATTCTCCTGCCTCAGTCTCCTGAGTAGCTGGCATTTCAGGCATGCACCATCACATCTGGCCAATTTTGTATTTTTAGTAGAAATGGGGTTTCCCCATGTTGGTCATGCTGGTCTTGAACTCCCTATCTCAGGTGATTTGCCCACCTTACCCTCTCAAACTGCTGGGATTATAGGTGTGAGCCACCGTGCCTGGCCGATTTAATCTGACTTAAAACACAATAAAATTGGATTGAAAAATAGTTATATGTTCAGCCTAGTTGCTTTATTTCGTAGCTTAGTTTCAAAATATATGCAAAATTCAATAGGATCCAGATAAAATGGAACACTTATATAAACTGACAGACCTTTACATTTAGTAATTTTAATTATTGTGTTGTATTTTATTGTAAAATATAAATGGACAAATACTAACTCAAGTCATAACACTGCTTTAAAGGTTACTTTTCCCCTTAGGCTTCCAGAGAAGATGAATAACACAGACCTGATTTTTTTCTTCTTGCTGAACCAACTGTAAAACTAGTAAATATGAAATAACAGTTTTAAGGCATTGGACATCAGGCAGGCATTAATCCCTGAGAGATGAGGCACAAATGTGCTAAACCATATGATATCCCTAAATTACAGGCTAGAGTGAGTTTCCAGGCTGCAACTCTTAGTAGAAGAGAGGAGCACAGGTAGAGCCTGGTGGCCTTTCTGAATTGAGAAGGCAGAGCTGGAAAATCAGGGAGGACAAAACAGCTATATCAGTTTGGAGAAAGTGGTACAGACCTACATAATGAATCCTAGGGTCTACAGCTGACTCCTGATGAACAGATCAGTGAAAGGAAAATACCAAAGACCAGGGAAAGAACCATTGAGAAACAGACACATGAATGATGGAGTTAAGTAAACAAGGACATTAAATAGTTATTAAAACTACATTCCATATATTCAAGGAGGTAGAGAAAAGAGTGAACATGTTAAATAAATGCAAGAAAGATAGAAAGACACATATAAAACTTAGAGATGAAAAATACAATTAATGAGATATAAAATAAATATAATGGGATTAACAGCAGAGTAGAGCTGCAGGAAAAGATGAGTAAACTTGAAGAAATAGGAATAGAAATTAGAAAAAGAAAAAAATCTGAATTTAAACAGAGCTTAAGTGAGCGGTGGAAAATTTTGAAGTTGCTTAATACACATGGGATTGAAATTCCAGAAAAAAAGAGATAGTGGTCAGAAAAAATAATGGCCAAATTTTCCAGATTTAATGAAAACTACAAACCTGCAATGTACAAAACCCAAAGGACTACAAGTATAAAAAAACACAAGTAAAATTATACCAAAGATGATCATAAAAACTAGAGATAAAAATAAACTCTTAAAGCCAATCAGAAGAAAAAGGAGATATGATGTACAAAGGAAAAAAAATAAGAAAGACCTATTCTCTGAAAAATAGCAATAATGGAGTTGATTAATTTTATTATCTTTGAAAATAATGGAGTAAGTACCCTAAAATAATGAAAGAGAGAGAAAAAATGTCAATCTGGAATTTTATATCGGATAAACCATTTGTAAACATGGAAGTTGAAATAAAGACATTCTTATACATAAAACAAGTATGTATTCATCTACAGCAGACATCCACTACAAAATATTCTAAAGGAAGTCTTCTAAGTTAAAAAATGATATCTGGATAAAAATATGTATTGACATAGAGGAATGAAGAGAACAGGAAATATCTGGGCATGTAAATATAACATTCATTTTTTCTATATCTCTTTAAAACATAAATGACTCTTTAAAACAAAATAATAGGGCCAGGTGCG